TATAATACTCCCATGCTTTTGCATGCATGGCTTTGGGTTGAGTAAATAACAGAAATAAAATTTTCAACAAAAACACTAATTTTGGGTAATTTTGGGTAGACCTAACCTGCATTTAACTACTGTCACAAAAGACCTCCTTGGAAAAGACTTTAGGAACATAAGATTTGTGTTAAATAAATATGATATAAGATTTGTGTTGATCAAATTTTCCCTCTTCCCTCTTTATCTTATAAGGTAGCCTAAATTAATATATTAAGCTAGTTTTTTTAATGCTACTGTATCACATATAGAAAACTGTGTGTTAATTGTTTACATGCATCTATAACTTAATGATTTACATTCTGTTTCCAAATTAAAAAATTTATTGCTTGCAACAATCAATTTTTAATTTTCAGTTGTTTAAATTTGATGAAAAATAATAAAATTTCACATATTGAAACCTTTTATAACAACTTTAGATTGATAAGCAGTCATAAAGCTTAGAGTGCATAATTTATGTTTATATCAAATTCTCTTTAATAATTTAATTGAGCATAAAACTATAAAAAATAAAAATCCCTTATCCAAAAGCTCCCTTTTTACGGTGTATTTAAGAAAGTTTCCCTATATATTAAATTATCTCTTTCTAATTGCAGTAATAAAGTTCTAATTAATAGACATGATTCTCTTTTAATTAAAGTTTTGGAGTACCACAAGGTTCCCATCACTGTTTTTTTTTTAAATTGATAATAATGATCTTCATGATACTCTTACCTAAAATCTAGTAAAACTTCCTCATTAGTATATATTTATTTTTTAATATATAATTATATATTTGTAAATGCTTTTAAGAAAAACACAATATTTTTCCATCTTGGCATGTTTTGTAGTTTACTTAGAGAAATATTTAATTTCTCTGTAATGTCTTCAAATTTTGATTTTAAATTCTAGAGTTTTAATTGTAATTTTATCTTTTGAAAATGGAGTATGTAAACTACAAAACATGTCAAAATTAAAAAACATTTTCACATTTATTGCTATTACGTTGCTCAAGAATTTAATATATAATTATTTTTTTTTTTCTTGAGTAGAACTTTTGTTTTATTTTCTATTGGAATTTCTATTTTATTTTAATTTAAATTAATATTTCTATTGGAATTATTATTATTATTTATTATTTGTGCTATCATTTTTTTTAAGTGGTATGGTAAGTGATTTGATTTAGTTATTTTTATTTATATTATACAGTGGATGTCCACTTTCTATGTCATTTCATCAAAAAAGTATTGATGCTTTACAAATTTGGGTATTATAGGGTTTTGGCTATTATCAGTGAATCCTTTTTACTGCAGTATGAAATAGGTCTAAATTGTGGAGTAAACATAAGTGGTGATGATGTTTATCTAATACTAGTTATTAACACTAGTTATTAGTGTTGATCTTTATTGAAACATATATATAAATATATTTTTTAACTAACATCTTTCGACAATTTCATTTGTTGATGTATATTTTATCATATTATTAATTATGGTTTTGTAATTACTTTGATTTGGACCATAGAGAGAACTTTCCTTTGAGGAAATTTGGTTGAGGAACAGTCTAAAGATTACGTAGATTTGGACCAAAAACAAAACTTTACTTTTAGTACTTTTGATTGAGTTATGATCTCAAGGTTAATTGATTTGGACGGTAAAGAAAACTTCACTTTAAAATAATTTTTTTTTAATGCTATTTACATCATTTTTGTATCTCTCATTATCTCATTGTGATATTACACAAATTTTTACTAACCACCCATTTGCCAGTCTTATTACAGTATTTCTTTAATATTCTGGTTTTCATACTATTCTTAAGGAATTTTTAAGTTGTTATCTTGCATTCTTTACTCAGTCTTATTTTTTAATTTCACATATACAAATTTTGTCTTTTATTTAAAAAAATCTTTTATACTTCAGTACATGTTTAAATTGTTTTAAACATGTACTGAAGTGTATATTATCTCAACAGTTCATACTATATTGAATAACAACATATTTACTATATCCTCTATTTTTTGACTTCTTAGATTGTCACACTCTTACCTCTTGTGGAACCCATCTCAACCTTTCATTTGCTAGAGTTACCTTTCTTTATCGTGATTGTCATTTTTTACTCCTAATCAATACTGTTGTCATAAGTGTGCTAATTCTACTTGAGATATCTTTTTTTTTTTAAACAAGTTTCGAAAAAGCATTGTAAATAAAGTTTAAACTTATTTCTGTTTTATTGTCATAAGATGGCTCCATTTTTCTTTTTTCTACAAATACTACTAGTGTTTGACCAAGTAACCTATCATCATTTGTTCCACCAATCAAAACACAACGTCTTGTGACTTATCATTCAAACAAGTAGCATCATTTTACTATTTCTGATTCTTGTAATGATTTAAGTAATGATTTGACCAAAAAATACTAGTTGCATAGTTCTAACAGACTTAGGTTGAAGTTGAAAACTATAAAATTGGAATAAAATAATGCAATTTTTGGATTTTTCTTTGGTTTATAAAATCTGCTAAGATGATGAGAAGAACAAATATGTACATTTTTGTCATCAAAAATAGTTTATAATTTTATTTTTTTATTTTTGTGAGTTATTCTTAAGAGATATCACAATATCAATGTTTAGGCAAATGTACCAAGTCTTTTTAATGTTACACACAACAGAACAACAGAAACTACGAAAACTGCAGAACAAACCTAAAAGCATTGTTTTGATCTGTGTACACACGAAGTAAAAAGTATCCAAAAATACCAGGTTCAAATGTAGAAGGGATCATAACATATCTACCAGGGTCAAGATCAAATCTAACAAATATTTCCCTTGCATTACTAAAATGACTATCCCCAGCTTGGTCATAATATTGATGTAATCTGTAGATGCGATTAGCTTCAACCTGTAAAGAAAACAACATGCCATAATAAGTAAAAAAGACTAAAAAAATATTTTCCACACAATATTAATATTTTTATATACATGTGTTTTTTAATATTTTCATAGCATACTTTTTACATTTAATTACACAATTTATCATTTGAAACTTTTAGAAAACTTTTTAATTATGTAAATAATTTTTTTATATTTATTAAATATGTAATTATATTATTAAATATTTATAATATTTATATTTATAATAATAAATATTTATAATAAAATTTATATTTATTAAATATGTAATTATATTATTAAATATGTAAATAAGTTTTTGAAAAATTGAAAAAAAAAATTATACTACACAATACGGTTTATATTTAATAGTAAAATTATTATACAACATAATAATATTATATTAAATTAAAAAAATTATTTTACACTTAACATTTATGATTAACTTTATCTTTTATCTTATTTTATCTTATATTTTCCTTATATTTTATCCTAAAACTATATTTTTAAATACAATATTATTTTAATGTAATTTAAAACTTAAATAATTTTTAAAATTAATAAATTTATTAACAAAAAGTAATTAAATTAAATATGAAAGATTTAAACAAACCAAATAACGTGAGAAAATTTAGGATTATGTAAGCAATTTTAACATTTTAAATCTAAACTAAAACAACTGCAAAACTTTAATTTTAAACCATCCAAAACTCTATGAAACATATTTTAAATCATCCAAAACTCTATGAAACATATTTTAAATCATCCAAAACTCTAAGAAATATATTTTAAATCATCCAAAACTCTATGAAACATATTTTAAATCATCCAAAACTCTATGAAACATATTTTAAATCATCCAAAACTCTATGAAACATATTTTAAATCATCCAAAACTCTATGAAACATATTTTAAATCATCCAAAACTCTATGAAACATATTTTAAATCATCCAAAACTCTAAGAAACATATTTTAAATCATCCAAAACTCTAAGAAACATATTTTAAATCATCCAAAACTATAAGAAACATATTTTAAATTATTTTTCTTTATTAAGAAATTTATGATACTTAAACTAATAAGATTTAAAAGTAAAAAATTTAAAATAAAAAAGTAAAGATTTAAATGTAAAACACTTTTTCACTTAAACTTAAACAACAAAACTCACTTTAAAAAGCATTATACCAATTGTTAAATTTTCTCCTTTTCCTGACACTCTTTTAGACCTCGTATCTGGCTGCATGAGACTTATAAACACTTCATCTTTGGATGCGGATGTCATGTCAAAACAAAACTAAATTTAAAAATTTTTAGTTTAAATAGAATTAAAACTATTATAATTTTTTTCATATTATAACTTTTATAGCAAACTTTATTATTTTATAAAATTTTATTATTGTTAGATTTATTATAGAAAACTATTATCATAAGGGTATTTAGGTCATTAAAAAAAAAAAAGGAAAGACACATCATTTAAAAAATAAGTATTCTGGGAGAGATTGTCATATATAAGGAAAAAAACATTTTTATACCACTAAAATTTAACAAAATAGAAATTTATTAGTTTACAAACTTTCCAAATTATATATGCTGTTTAAGTAATTTTATTTTTAAATTTTATGGCATTATTTGGTATAATTTTTAGCATCATTTGGTATAATTTTGGCATCATTTGGTATAATTTTGGCATTATTTGGTATTTTTTTGGCATTATTTGGTATTGATAAAATTGTTTTCAGAATCACAGATGGTGTCTCCTGTAATTTAGAAAAGCTTTAGACAAGGTTATTTGCTTGAGAAATGAATTCTGCACATCTGCTCCAAAATGCTCAGGCAGGGAAAAGGGCACATCTGAGCTTGAACGAATAAAGGCATATTCTCTGATATAACTTATTCTCTGATAGTATTTCCACATCCCTATCTACCTAGTACCTAGTACCTGTTTACTAACCTAATCTTATTTGTCAAAGTTCATGTTTTAAAGTTGTAGGGTTTATAAATAAATGTTTATAAATGGGTGGAAAAAGTAAAAAAAAAAGTTTTGAAATCAACTTACCTGAGGATTATTAAGAAATGTTTCTTTATTAGTAATGCAGCCACCAGCACTCTTGCCTTCCCATTTACTCTTCACTGAACCTTCATGATATGTTTTATTAAAAGAAATAACTGATGTATTTACCAATATGCAAACAGTCACAGTTGTAAAGTATTTGCAAAAGTCGCCAAATGACATCCTAAATTTGTTGTTTAAACATAAAAAATGATCTTTACAACTTAATGTAAATGTACCCAATTGTTTATTTTTTTTAATGATTTATTTAGAACAATTTAAATTACAAGTGTTGAGCAAAGCGAACTAAAATGTCACTTAATTAAATAAAACATAAAAATTGTCAATGACATATGCACTAAACCCTTATGCACACCAACCTTTATTTTATCACAGCTATAATAACTGTTTTAAACATTCTTTAACACTTCAAAGCCCTTCAATACCTGTGAAAACCTTTTTTAGAATCAACAAAACTTTTTTCTTTTCCAATAACTTTTCTTGAACTTTACTTCACAATAAATTTTGCACCTATTGTTCACTTTCCTTGTCAAAACAAATCCATGTTAGTGACAAACACACTGCTTCTTGTATCTTCATTACCTGAACAAACACTTTTTTTTTTGTCAATATGAACCACTTTCTAGTGTGTGCTAGTCTTAACTATAAATTTTTACCTTTTTTACTAATCATTATAAATTTTAACTTCATGCATTGCGAAAATCTGACACATTCTCATTCAAAATTTTTTAAAAAATTAATATTTCAGCCAGAAAGGCTAGTGGTCTTTCCTGATTGAGCCCAACAAATTTCACTACAAATTGTAAGCTATAATGAAAACTTTACAAATAAGGTTGGTTGCACTTACCAGAATTCCCCACTATTTTCATTAACTAATCCATACTTTTCTCGTTCTTGAGCACTTAACAAATTCCATTGCGGGGAGCTAGAATAAAAAAAGCAATTTTGGAATGCTTTTTTGTAGAATGTTAATAAAAATGTTTATAAAAAAAGTAATAAATATAAAGTTAATAAAAAAAAGAACAATCACTTGAAATGTAAAGGCAAAGAAAGTCTTGAAATAAATAAAAAAATTTTAGAAAATTAAAAAAAATTTAAAACTAGCGTGCTCCAAAAAAATTACAACAGTTACAATAGTCGTGCTTTCCGCCCTTTTTCCCATTATTTTTATGATTATCAAAAAAGACAACAACTTTCTTTATTTTTATACTTTAAATAGTGGTCAACTGTTTTAATTTTTATACTTTAAATGGTGGTCAAAATTGAAGTTTGAGATTTCACGTTAATGCTTTTCGACTATTTGCAATAGGTATTGTCTCTATTTTGTCCTTTGTAATTTTTCCAGCAAAGTCTGTGATGAGCTTGACTGCTCTCTCAGCCATGTCATAAATGACTCAGCAATTGTGAACAAACAACTATAGATTTTAATTTTCACTTTTTAATTTCTTTTTTGTTAAGATTTGTTTCTTTTTTATATAATTTAGCCTGCTTATAAATTTTTTTCTTTGTCGATTTTATTCAGCACGTTTTTAATTAAAAAAAAGCGCTGTGGTCAAGCTTTTAAAATAAACAATTAAATGCTTGGTCAAGATTAGAGTACTGATTGCTGACCTGAGGATTCACCAATCAATAAAAAAGGATTTTGCTTGCTTTGCTTTTGATCCATTTTCTTCCTTTCTCATTCCTTCATTCTTCAACTCTAATTTCTTCATTCCTCAAGAAGACACTAGTTCCATTCATTTTATGCTATTTTTTTTAAATTCTATATCTTTTCTTCTGCATTTAGACAAACCTTTTTTGTACAAAATGTTGCAGAACCTAGTTTATAAATTTTTTATTTTTACTTCAAGCTTAAGCTTGCTCATGTTTTTTTTTTTGTTTTTTTTTCTAGTTGTTTCTCTTTGTATTATTATGTGTATATTTTAAAATTAAAAAAATTGAATTTATCAATTTATCTATATTTTTTTCACATAATATGGAACTGTCCGCTTTTAGGGACAATTTTCCAAAAAACAGACACTTGTTAAAAAAAATAAAGTCTTATTTTCCATAGAAACTTGAAATTATAATTTATTTATTTTTTTACACTGCAGAAATGCTCTAATAAACAACTATATTCCAGAAAAAAAAATCTTACAAATTCTCAATATTAAAAAAGTTACTTAGTTTTGTGTGAAGAGTGTCCGGTTTGCGGTACTTTTACTCTAATAACTGTAAAGTTTAAAAAAATGTAAAAAAAAATTTTTTAACTTATTTTAATTCCCAATTTAAAAAGTTAAAGATGATAACAAGTGCAAAGAAATAAAAATAGGTTTTAGCTTAAAATAAATTAAACTTGTGGGAAATGTTATTACATAAGGTTTCCCACAAATGACTTTTCCAAAAAAAATTGTTTACAAAAAACTTTTTTTAACAAAAAATTACTCTGGGCAGAAAGAAAATATTTTTATGTCGAACAAGATTTTATTTTAAGAAATATATACATCTAGATTACCCATCAGACCATGGACCATTCCACTCTGTGTCACCCCATGGATTTCTAAGTTTGACCATGAACAGCCTATTGGCATTAAAAATTGAGATATGGTCATTTCCAATTTTTATCTAAAGAATAATAAAAACAAAACATAACAGCAAAAAGTTTTTAACAGCTGCTTTTAACTAATTATTATAGTGAATTTTTAAAAATTTATTTAAGGAGAAAAATATTAAAAAAATAAATAAATTTAATCTTCAAACTTTTAAGTGCTAATAAAGTTTTATAGTAAAAAAATTATATAAACTCAAAATTAAACTTTACATTATTATTACAAAATTAAACATTACAAAATTAAACAATACATTTTTAACTTCTAGCATAAACAAAAATTAGTTTTTATTTACAGTGAAATTAAAGATATACAAATTGATACATATAATAAAGATAATATGCAAATAATATAAAAAATATGCATTACATAATATCACTTGTATTATTACAAAATAATAACTTACACAATAATAATATCAATATGTAATAAATTTAAAAATTCAGATTAAACCAAGAAAAAATTTTCATTCAGAATGAATAATAGCAAAGTAATAAATAAAAGATTCACTTTTTTTACAGCCAAGATGCTATATGCGTGTCCCTTAACTAAACCATGATCCATTTGTAATTCCATTTCATCTCGATTTTGAACCTGTAAATAAATTTAAAAAAAAACTAAAATTTAAGACCACATCACAATCACATCACATCACAATCATATCACATCACATCACAAAAATTTATGAAATAATAATTTTTGTAGGGTTAAGTTTTTTTACAGTTGTAAAAAAATTAATTATTAAATTATAAAAACATAATACTAAACTTTAAATTTTAAAAAATATAATTAAATTAATAAAATATAATAAAATACAAAATCCTATTAATTTTTGGGACTCCAGTCTAGGACTTCAGACTCTTGGACTCCAGACTAGGACTTCAGACAGAGGTCAAAAAGGATTGTCTCATAACATTTAAACTCAGAACTCAAAAATTATTTTTTTCTATAAAAATAGAAAATCAATTTTTTCTATAAAAATTGTGATAAAATAACATTTGTAATTACATTTAAAACTTAGATTTGCATGAAACAAATGCAGCCTGAGTTGAATCATAGGTAAGCATAATTGATTTTTACAAAATTTTACTATGAAAGCTAAAATCCTATATACTATAGGATTTGTATAAAACTATAAAATAGATTGAAAAATATTTCAACATTTTACTCTAAGAATATGATCAACATCCACTAAAGAGACACTCACCAAACTTACGTTTTTTATGGCAAATATTGTTATTTTCGTGAAAAAACTGCCAGTTTTCCGCTAAAGTTTGCTGGAACAAGGCTTTGTTTTAAATAAAAAATGCTTTAATGCATTTGTCTAATGTGAAATTTTTTTTTAAAAACTTTTTTAACTTACCGCAAAACAAGTTAAATATATTTAACTCATTTTTTATTAATACTATTAGGGAATGTTTATTTTCTTTCATTTTTTATTTATATTAAATAATTAAATTTATTATTACATTTTTTAAAATCTTTGATATAAAAAATTTGATATAACCATACATAAATAATTGATATGAAATGTTTGATATAACCCTAACCCTGTCTTGACAAAAAGTCTTCTCTTTTTGATCGCGTAGAACAGGCAGCCGATCTTGAATCTGATCTCACTTCTGTAACAGACTGGTCAAAGGAATAATCATATCTAGTTCCACCAATTAAAAATCATTCTCGCTTGACTTTCATTCAGCAAATTCTCATTCTACTGTATCTGTCTCTGCATGCTCTAACAACTTTTATTCATCTAGTTTTTTTCCCTGCATCTCAACCCTTTGGAACTGAAAATCTATAACTCTATTCTTGTTTTAGTAACTCCTAATTTAATAGTGGTTGCTTGCAGCCTTGTTGCAGCCTTGTTGAGAGTGAATCATAATTAAAAAAATATATATATTTTCTTTTGTATAAATGAATTAAAATGTTAAATTTTTTAAAATGATTATTTCTTAAATTTGCAATTGCAGCTTTGCAACTAAAAATTATTTTTTATATTAAAAAAAATTAGAGTAACAAATAAAAAATTACGTTAATTTATTTACTTTATTTATTAAAATAAATTATTCAAATTTAGATTATTTTTCCAAACACCAATGATTAAAACTATATATTAAAAATACTTTTTTTATTAACTACCAGTTCTTTATTCCCTTTTTTTTAATTTTTTTTTTTTTTTTTATTAAAAAAAAAAATTTTTCCATTGCCTACCAGTTTCTTATTCCTTTTTTTAACTTTTTTATGTTTATAAAAAAGTATTGTCTTATAATATTTTTTTCATTACTAACCAGTTTCTTATTCCTTTTTTTCCCTTTTTTTTTTTCAGTATTTTCAAGTGTACTTTTTTAAGCTGTTTCTTTACATTTTTTGCACTAGCCAAGTTTTTGTTTAATTTTAATTTAAAAAAAAAAAAATTTTAAGGACGTATAATTACATTTTTGTTTAAGCTTCAAAATTGAAACTCAAATAATTTTAAGAAAAATGGTTATTCTCTGAAACAATTCAAAACTTATTGAAACAATTAACTAGAACAAATTCTAAAACAATCTCCTTCAGTGCAAATAACTTCACTTGAAAAATTTGCAAACTCTAATGCCGTTAAACTAATTATTATTATTATCCTTATTATTGTTAATATTATTATTATTATCATTATTGATATTATTATTATTGTTATTTAACTATCATTAATGCATTGCAATTTTTACATTTGCTAAGGTTGCCACACCTTATTTTGTTCAATATTCTTCTTACTTGTGATTCTATTCTCTACCTCTACAAATCACTTATTTTTCTTTGTATAGAATATTGTTGATATATTTGGACTGACTTTTCTAATGAAACCTATTTTTAGACAAGATTCAAAACATTGTAAATGGTACATAATTATATATTTCAAAGGTGTATGAATAATGTTATAAATATATTAAAATAAATTTACATAAATAAACTAAATTAAAATTAAGAAAAATAATTTTTTTTACCTGGATTGAAGCACTAATCATAGACTTCCGTGACATCAATTTGCTTAATTTTACATGTAACAATTTCTTCTTTTCTAAATTATTATGATAATCACCTTCAACTAAATCTATTCTTTCACTTACTCCACCTGTGAAATCAACAAGAGCATCACCAGGATTCCCAGATTCAAGAGCTTCATACGAACCAGATAATCTTAAAATTTAATAAACTAAAATAATTTCTGTTTTAAAAAAAGCAAATTTTAAAAACAACATAATTAAGCAATTTCATTAAGCATATTTAGCATATTTAGGCAAATTATTCAGAAAGCTTTAGACAAATGTTATAAAGATTTGCATTGAAAAAAAATCATCAATTGATTAAGTAATATTGCATAATATTTAGGATAGTAATCGATGTTAAAAAACATGATGATAAAAGATTTCACTATACTATATGCTTAATAAGATTACAAACAATTGTGCGGATTAAGAATACAAATGATTATTATTTTAAAACAATGTTTTAATCACAATAATCCAAACCCCCTGATTGATCAGATTAGGATGAATAAATTTAATGTTTTTAGTTAATAGAGTTAAAGCATTTTGAAATTTTTTTTATTACTATTAAACCACATTTTACATCAATACACCATTTTACCCTAGTTTCCCTGATATAAAGGCCTATAGATTCTCATAAAGGACAAGTTTTTACTAATAATATATAAATAACAATAAATATAAATAACAAATATTTCCTTCCTGTCATTTGATTCTAATTGTAGAGTATGATCAGTTACTTTAAAACAATACTTCTAAACAATGTCAATGATAGGGGATGTCCATAAAGTATGTAAGTTTTTTTTTTATCTCCTTCACCTTCCCCTGCTTTCATGCATTTTGCTTTACACTTTTTTGAGTACCCTCCACCTCCCTAAAAGTACCTACCCTTTTAACCTACCTACTTAACATTTTTTTTTAATTTAGTGTCTCCTTATTTTCATAATTGACCCCTCTCCTCCATTCGAGCGTACTTTATGTACGATCCTTTATGTATGTACTTTATGGACAATCCTTAACGAAAAAATACTTTATCTGTGTTAAGTCACATGATTTGTTTTAACGTTTTCAATTAGTTGAAACATTTTTAAAATAGATTTAAACATGTGAGTTCCAAATAAAATTAGGAAAAGATTTTAAACGTTTTTTTTTTTTTTTTGATATTATTGATATTATTTTTGTTTATACTATCTTTTTTATTATTTCTCTTATCTTTAAAATTTTTCATTTACTTTATTTTCATAGTTTTTTTTATAAAAATAGCTTCAAACTCAAACAATCCTGAGAGGTTTCTAGATAAGTATTTTTCAATTGATAAAACTACAAAACTGGTAAGATTACAGAAAACTACAAAACATGTAAGACTACAGAAAAGATAAATGATAAAGTAATTTCATTTACCATGCAAACAAAAAAATAAAAAGTTCACAATATGAAATGGTATTTGGAAAAATCACATCTATCAGAATATAAAATTGTTGAATCTGAAATGAGCCTTATAGCCCAAAGAAAATCTTCAAAATCATAGTAGTTGAACAATAAATCATGTTAGTGTTAAAACTTTTAAAATTAGAATTATTAAAATGGTAGTGAATAACAGAGTTTTGTTGAAAACATATGCGGATGAAAGATTTCAGTTTGTTACAGGCCAATTAGGTAAAAATCTTGGATTCAGTACTGGACACAATTCTGTATGCAATTTGATTAATGAATTTGCTGAAAAAAAGAAAGCTGAAATATAGGAAATATCGTTACAGAAATTTATTTATGTGAAAATAGATACAGCTACTTGACACCAAAATAACTATTTGGAAATAAATATTCAATATCATCATGCGAAAATTTTTTTTAAAACTTTGGCACTGACAGATACACAAGGACAGCATAACCCTGTTGCTATCACGAAAATGGTGGAAGATATATACTCTATATAGATTTGGTATTAGCAATGATCAAATAGTATGTGTGCAAATGTATGTGCAAATATATGTGCAAATGTAGGCAATGCAGCCAACATGATTAGAGCAATCACAATTTTAAACAAATATTCAGGTGATGAAATTTTTTGAGATAAAACTCTGCATAATTAAGAACAAGTGGAATTTTTACAACAGGATACAAATGAAGAAGAAAGTGAAAGAGCTCTGGAAGAAAATCTAGCCTTTATCAACCCAGAATGGTGTCAACAATTGTCTACTGATATTAAGCTGATGCGCTGTGTTATTTACACTTTGCAGCTAGCTATTCGTATGATTTAAAAAAAACATACATTGCCCGACTTTTGGAAAAAGTCCATTATGTTGTAAAGATACTGAGAAACTTACATACAATATTTTAAGCATTGATTTTGGATAACGAGAAACACTGGGGTTCTACATTCCGGATAATTGAAAGATTATTACTTTTGCGTCCACTGTGTGAACAATTTGCTGCAATTAATCAGATATTCTTTCTACACCCTGAAAAATGGGATAAATCTAGCCATCTTTGCAATCTTTTAAAAAAGCCACATGATGTGATAGCTAAACCTCAAGGAATCGACATTACTTCAGGAGAGTTCTTAAAGGAATGGTTTAAATTGAAATATGACCTAGAGAAGAATCAAGGACTATTTATAAAAGACATTTCAAAATCTATGCAGAAACAAGTAGAAAAACCTTTTGATAATTATATATTTTTAACTGCAGTTTATGTTGATGCTAGATATAGAATACTATTGGAAGAAAACCAGATAATATGAGCAAAACAATGCTTAAAAACAATAGCAGAAAAAAGTTATAAAAGAAATGCCAAAAAATATAATAGAAAGTCAAGAAATAAGAAATACTGCTGTGCTATCTACAGTACTTCTTTCAGTTTTAAGTGAATCTAATTCCGATGAAGAAGAGGATGAATTTGAAAAGAGCTTGATAAAAAAGAAAAAAGGAGAAGTATGACTAAAATTAATTTTGGTCACACTTCTTTTTTTAATTTTTTTGATAAAAATACTTTTAATACAAATTTTATGTACAGCTGTAAGATAATAAAAAAGAGAGGGTTCAAAAATAAATTCAGCTTTTGAGGGATTGAGGGAATTGAAGAATACCCAAAAAGAATACAAGAAGCGTGCAGAGTTGCCACTTGTATACCTACCTCACAAGCAAGTGTAGAGAGGATATTTTCTGCTCTTGTTTTTGTATTGAGCTGTTTACATTCTTCACTCAAACCTGATAATTTAGATTTTTTTTACTTTATTTTTAAGGATGAATCAAGATTTTTATTAACAAAATATTAATAGTACTTAAGTTATTGTTATAAAACATTAAAAAAAAATTTGATTTTTTTTTTTTTTTGCGGAGCCGCTCTGGAGCTGTTCCAGAGCTGAAGCCAAAAATTCTAATGGAGCTGCAGACTGGAACCGTAGCCAATTTTTAGACCTTGGCTACAAAGCCCAGATTTATGAATTTCCTCCATAAGTATTTTTATTTTTTTTTTGTAAAAGTCTTCATAAGCAATTTTTATGAAAAGTGAAAAGTACAAGCATAGGCTGAATAAGTAAGACAAGGATACTGAATAGGTAAGACAAGGATACTTTTTATTTTTAAAGGATAATATTTTTAATAAATTTTTTTCTTATTATGAAAGTAATCAAAAAACTAAAAATTTTATAAATAAGAAAAATTCTAAAAATGCACCTGATGAAAAATACCTGTATGTTTTTAATGTACCAGATGAACAACAAAAAAACGTTTTGTTAATCACATGCAATCCTTTAAAAATAAAAAGTATTCAAAAGACACCATGCTGTCAAAATAAATATGGAAATTAAAAGATAAAAATATTGATGATTTATATTAAATTTATTCATCCTTAAAAGGCATATTATTTCTACAAGAAAAACTTGAAATAATTACACATGTGAACCAAAAATGTTTATTAAACAAAAAATTAGATTTGATAATGTAGGCAAGAAAATAAGATCACCTAAAAACTATGATATATATATATATATATATATATATATATATATATATATATATATATGTATATATATATATATAAATATATATATATATATATATATATATATACATATATATATACATATGCATATATAAAAATTAACAAGTATAGGACAGAAAAATAGTAATTTTCTTTAACAAGATAAAATTGTCCTTTTTTTTTTTACTATTACTGTGGATATAAAAAAAAAATTATAATAAAAATTACTTGGCATAAGCTTTCTCTAACAGAGCACTCCAAAATTCATTTTTTGTTTTAGACTTTACATAAATTAGTTCACCGTTAATAGTAGGTAGACGGTCATCAATAACAACTTCAATCCATTCTCCAAACCGCCAAAATCTAAATCTGAAAATGCCATGATAGTATTCTTTTTGAAAGGATAAAGTTCTATGATGCGGAATAACCTAAAAATGTTATATAAATTTAATTCAAATCTAAGTAAACAATGGTAATCTCAAAAAGTTCTGGAACAGTTGCTGGCTCAGATGACCTGGAACCATTTATGTATGGAAGACATAGATTGTCTTTCAAAGTATCATTTTTTTAATTTATAATTATTATGGAATAAAATGAAAAAAAAATTGAAATAAAAAATTATTGTTGTTCTACCAATCCAAGGAGAAATTGTCTCCTAAAATATCTTATTGATGGTCTACCAGATAGGAACAGATATAATGGTCTACTATTAGAAACAGTTAAAGGTTTTAATCTTTTTCAATATTACGCTTAAAAACTTAAATACGTAAACTTGTTCACTTTAATTTTAATTAATGTATCTCAAAATTAAATTTAAACTTTCATAATATAATTATTTTAGGTAGCACTTCAGCTTTCAGCTTTAAAATGTGACTTGTCATTAAAAGACTCTTGTGAACTGAAGAAATCTTTTTGCTCTAGAAAGTAAAAAGGTCTTGATAATGTTCTAATTAAAAAACCACACCTGGCATTTAGATGAACAAATAGTATTTTTGCATTATCAGACAAAGATCTGCCTGATTTCACAAGGTAAAAATTACTAAAAATTTGCTCATGAATGTTAAGCCGCAAATATTTAATTTTTATGTGGGATTCGCAAAAAGATTCACAAAGTTCTTAATTTGGTCCAGAAAGAAGGAATCTTTTTCGAAATTGTTGGTGTTTCTGAGGAAGATGTTAAACAATGTTTAAGGGAGATTCTGCCTGCTGGAATGATTTGCAGAGATACAAAAAGTTTGATCAGTTCATAAAAAACATGCAATAAAATATTACTGCGCCACGAGAAATATTCTCTTCGATTTATTTTCAAGTAAATCTGATACTAGTATTATTGACAATAATTGTGATACATGAAGTAAGAGAGGAGAAAAAGATGATGCTTGGTAACTTTAGCAAAAAACAGTGGTTGCTATCATTAGCAAAAAACAGTGGTTGAGATGAAAAAATCTAAAATAAAGTCCAAAAAAAGAATTGGAGAAACTGATATTGTGTAACTTTGCAACAATGGATCTAATTGTTGTTATTTAAATAAAATCATTTTTTAGCAAATAAAAACTTTTTTTTCTAGACAATAAAGTTTTCAATAACTTTTGTTTTTAGTAACATATGGCTATTGTCACATCAGGGAAAACTTTAAAAATCAACTTAAAAAACTATTTTAATAAAATGGTACATATTGACCTAAATATCAATAAAGCAAATAAAAAAGCGTATTGAAAAAATTCAGAAATATAAGTTGAAAGCAACTGCAGAAATTGGTAAAAAGACTTTTTTTTAAAATGATACACTATATTCTGAGATTCTATTATTACCTTTTATTATCTTTATTTAGAAGTTTCTTTTTATTTTCTTAATAAGTTGAGAAACAACAAAACTTAACAGCAAAAATGAATCTAGTAAAACTTTTTAGTAAAGAATATTGTTAAACTTTAAAAGATAAAATATCATAAATTGTTTGCATTTAATAACAAATCTGTGTTTAATTACAAGATTTTTGCATTCATCTATTTTTTTTAATTACAAGATAATTACATCCATCTCTTAGGCTGGCACAGATGCATTTTCAATACATTGTTTCCAGTTTTGTAGGATACGCTTTTTTAGGCAAAGGCTAGGAGAAGTTAACTCCGAATTAAAACACCCCCTGCCTTGGGGCTCTTGGTTGAGTAAAGGCTAGAGATGGTGTCTCGATAAAAATACTCATCTTGGGCAGATGTTACATGCATCCAGCTGCTGTCTTGTAGAAGGCCTCCTAGGCAAAGACTTAAGGGGTAAACAGATTCTATCTGTTGACCAGCCTCGCACCCCTTCCTCATCTATTAGGCTGGCGCAGATGTATTTTTAATACATTGTTTCCAGTTTAGGATGTTGAACGCTGGATCTTCTTGACTCAATGCGTGGGTATTGCTTGTGTCTCTATTTTTATGACTGGGCAACTCATTCTATTATCTCCTAATGAGGGTACAGCTCTAAAACTCAGTTTTATGGTTCTGAGGCCGGCCGGTAGTCAGGTTTCCCGAACTCTGTGGTAGCTCTCAGAGAGGCTGATTCCATCAACAGCAGAAAAATATCAGAGTACTAACAGTGCCATGTTGCGCATGGATGGTGTTCCTGTTTGTACTTTTGGTGTGCATTGCAGAGGCCACATTTGGAGCCCTTTGTTACGGCTTAGGGTTTATTAATAGTAATGAGGCTATTGCTTAGTTGTTAAATAGTGTACTGAGTACTATCTATACTTGAGTCAAGTTCTTTATAAATTTAAAATGACTAAAGTACCTAAAACTAAAAAACACAAAAAACCATCGTCATCACCAAGTTCTCTAAACCTATCATTTACTAATATTCGTGGTCTTCGAAGTAACTTTTCTTCTGTTGAGTCTTATCTCTTGCCACCAAACCTACTTGCTCTTTGTGAGACTAATTTGAGTTCGGCTGTCCCATCTTGAGATCTTAGTGTTGATGGTTATCTTCCTTTAATTCGTAAAGACTCCAATAATCACATGCTTGGCCTGGGCATCTACATTCGTAAGAACTCACCCATTTGTCGTGAAACTAGGTTTGAATCTACAGACTATTCATTTATGTGCTTTCGTTTAGCACAACTTCACTCTATCGCCTTTCTCTTTGTTCTATATCGCTCTCCTTCATCCCAAGATTGCACTATTCTTGATGTTATTTCTGATCAAATTGACCAAGCCCTCTCTCTTTATCCATCGACCAATATCGTCGTTGTTGGTGACTTTAATGCCCATCACACCGATTGGCTTGGCTCTAGTGTCAGTGACTCTGCTAGCGTTAAGGCCCTCAACTTTTGCCTTTCTCAATCTCTAACTCAAATAGTCAACTTTCCAACTCGTTTTCCAGACAACCCTAATCATTTACCTTCTCTACTCGACTTATGTCTTGTTTTGGATCCTAGTCAGTGCTCAATTTCTCCACATTCACCCTTAGGTACTTCTGATCACGGTTTGATCTCTCTAAAACTATTATCAAATTCTTCTACTTTATCAGAATCCCCCTATCATCGTACCACATACAACTACCTTAAAGCTGACTGGGACTCTTTCCGTGATTTTCTTCGTGATGGCCCTTGGGTAGAAATCTTTCGTCTTCCTGCTGACAAATGTGCTTCTTACATAACTTCGTGGATTCAGGCTGGCATGGAATCTTTTATTCCCTCTCGACGATTCCAGGTCAAGCCTCACTCTTCTCCTTGGTTTTCCTCACATTGCGCTGCAGCAATTTCTAATCGCAACCGTTACTTCCATATCTATCAGCAAAACAATTCTCCAGAAAACAGACATCTGTTCACTATCGCCAGAAACCATTGTAAAAAGGTTTTGTCTGACGCCAAAGCTCGCTATTCCCAGGTCATTAAATCTCGTATCTCATCACAAAAATTAGGCTCTCGAGACTTCTGGAGAATCTTTAACAGTATCAATAATAAGGGCAAATCTGTTATTCCTTCTCTCTTGTATGGTTCAGACTTTGTCACCTCACCTAAAGACAAAGCTGAATTGTTTGCTAAGAACTTTGCATCAATATCATCTCTTGATTCCACTAGTTGCGTTTTACCTGACATAGCCGTCAAACAGGTTGATCCCTTGCTTGACATTCGCATCACTTCAGCTTCTGTATCTAAAGTAATTTCCTGCTTAGACTCTTCAACAGCTTGTGGTCCTGACAACATTCCTGTTGTAGTCTTGCAGAGGTGTTCTCCGGAGCTTTCATCCATACTTTCTAAACTATTTAACAAGTGCTTATCAGAGTCTTGTTTTCCATCATGCTGGAAAGCAGCATCTGTTATCCCTATTTTCAAAAATTCCGGAGAACGATCTGATTCATCTAACTACCGTCCCATTAGTCTTCTTCCTGTCATAAGCAAGGTTTTTGAATCTTTAATCAACAAACACTTAATCTCTCATCTTGAATCAAATAACTTCCTTTCTGATCATCAATATGGATTTCGGTCTTCTCGTTCTACAGCTGATGTGCTAACAGTAATAACCGATAGGTTTTACCGTGCATTAGATAGAGGTGGAGAGGTTAAGGCTATCGCACTTGACATTTCTAAAGCTTTTGATAAAGTTTGGCATGCTGGTCTTCTCCATAAGCTTTCTTCTTATAGTGTAGCTGGTAACGTCTTTAAGATTATTGAGTCCTTTCTTTCCAATCGTAGTATAAAAGTTGTCCTCGATGGACAACACTCTTCTTCACATCCTGTAACTTCAGGGGTTCCTCAAGGTTCAATCCTTGGCCCTATACTCTTTTTAATTTACATTAACGATCTTCCAGATATTCTCACATCTAAGGTGGCATTATTCGCTGACGACACTACCATTTACTCTAGTCATGATAAGAAGCCTACACTCTCTGATTGCTTGGAGGGGGTATCTGAGCTTGAAAAGGGTCTAACTTCTGCTACAGCATGGGGCTCACAGTGGCTGGTGAACTTTAATTCAGATAAAACTCAATTTTATTTGGCCAATCGTTATCGTAATAATTTAGATCTTCCTATATTTATGAATGGTAATGTACTAGATGAGTCATCTACCATTCATCTTCTAGGATTAACTCTTACTTCTGATCTTTCTTTTAAACCGTATATCAAATCCATTGCAAAATTAGCATCTGCTAAGGTTGCATCTCTTTATCGAGCTCGACACTTTCTTACTCCAGATTCTATTCTCTATCTCTATAAATCTCAAATCCGTCCCTGTATGGAATACTGTTGCCACATCTAAGGCGGATCTTCTAATGATGCTCTTTCTCTTTTAGACAAGGTGCAAAAACGAATTGTAAACATAGTTGGACCTGCTCTGGCAGCCAATCTCCAACCTTTGTCACATCGTCGTAATGTTGCTTCTCTTTCTCTTTTCTACAAATACTATAATGGGCACTGCTCTAAGGAGCTAGCGTCCCTTGTGCC